GCATGATAACCTGGCCACTCAGGGTATAACAATCTTAGAGGCCCAGTGCATGAATTCGTGCATGGGTGGGGTCTGGCCAGCCTGGCCGGGGTGGGAGGGACGGGGGGAGGGGGAGGGGCGGGGACATGTGTGGTTGGCTGGCCTGCCTGCTGATCGAACTCCTGGTTGAGAAGACAATTTGCCCTTTTGCCTTTTATTCTACAGGATAGACAACAGTCCTTGGGCCAGAATCTTAGGCCCCTGTGTATTTTTGCAAAGCTTTATTAAGACACAGCTGGCGGTGGCTCATCGGTTGAGTGTTGTCCTGTGAACCAGGAGGTCACGGTTCCATTCCTGGTCAGGGCACATCCCCCAGTGCGGAGTGTGCCCGGTAAGGGGGCGTGCAGGAGGCAGCGGAGGCCATGATTCTCCCTCATCACTGATGTTTCTCCTTCTCTCCCTCTCCCTTCCTCTCTGAAATCAATCGATGTAAAGTTTTACTCGGAAGCACAGCGACGTGCATTCGGTTAGGGGGAGCATCTGTGGCGGCTGCTTGCGTGCTAACCCCCAGCCGAGGGGAGCGGCTAACCACGGAGATCGCGCACAACCTACAGTAGGGGTGTCGAACTCAATCAGAGAAGGGGCCAAAATCTAAAAGCCAGCCTAAATTGCGGGCCGAATGGTTTACTGAACAGTCATAAACTGTCATTGTGATGGAAACGCAGCGGAGTGCAGTGATGACAGCGCGGTGCGGGCCACATTGCAAGGCCTGGCGGGACGGATTTGGCCCGCGGGCCTTGTGTTTGACACATGTGACCTACAGTGTTTGCACGTGGCCCCTGAGCTGGTGCAAACAGGCCTTTCGGAGAAAGTGAGGCGGAGAGAGGAAAAGTTGCAGAAGCCCAGCCAGATCCTGGCAAGGAAGAAATGAACACAGAGACGCTGCAGTGGAGATGGGAGAGAGAGAGAGAGGGGGGGGGGGGAGAGAGGGTTCCGTGGGCGGCGGCTCCATTCCTTCGTCAGCAGAGGGCCGAGGCTTGGGTGCGAAGTTGCCATGGGCCCACTGGTTTTTATAGAGGCTTCGCTCACGCTATCAGCTCCTGGCATCTCTGACTCACCCCTCAGCCGCGAGAAACTCGCAACCACGGGGGAGCCACAGGTCCCGGCCCCCACCCCGTCTCTTTGGAAGCTCCCACACGGGAGGGGAGGATCCACCTTCCTCCTGCCGGAGGGTGGGCGCCCTCCGCTACGCGGGTCCTGGCTCCCCACGGAGAGAAGAGGAATACGCGGTGTCCTCCCCGGGCCACAGGGCCCTATTGCCTAACAGGGTTCGAGATGGGCGGCTGGCGTCTGCCTGTGTGATGATCCTGGCTTTGGATCCCATGGCCCAGGGCTGTGTAGAGCAGGTTCTGGTATAGACTTTACTGGGGCTGGGGACCTTTTATATATATGTATTTTTAAAAAATATATTTTATTGATTTTTTACAGAGAGGAAGAGAGAGGGACAGATAGTTAGAAACATCGATGAGAGAGAAACGTCCATCAGCTGCCTCCTGCACACCCCCTACTGGGGATGTGCCTGCAACCAAGGTACAAGCCCTTGACCGGAATCGAACCTGGGACCCTTCAGTCCGAAGACCGGCGCTCCATCCACTGAGCCACACCCGTTTCGGCTCTTTTTATTATTATTTTTTTTAATATATTTTTATTGATTTCAGAGAGGAAGGGAGAAGGAGAGAGAGACACATATATCCATGAGGAGAGAGAATCACGGATCAGCTGCCTCCTGCACGCCCCCCTATTGGGGGATGGAGCCCACAACCCGGGCATGTGCCCTTGACCAGGAATCGAACCCTGATCTCCTGATTCCTAGGTTAACGCTCAACCGCTGAGCCACGCCAGCCGGGCCTGGTTTTTGCTATCATCCAGATCCCCGTGCGGTATGACTCCCCCCAGGCAGCCCCGGCACACCCCGAGGAGGCCCGGCATTTCGCTGCTGTCCAAGGCGGACCCTGCAGAGGAGGCGAACACCCCGCCCCACGCCTGAGCCCCGCCAGCATCTCGCACCCGTGTCGAGTTGACGCCTCGCGTTCCGGGTTGAAAAGCAGCGACAGAACAGATGGCGGCTGACACCTTTCTCAGGAATCCTGGAGCCCCACCAGTCTACCCACTGAGGGATGAGAAAAAGAGAAAAAATAAGTTGGGGAGGGGGTATAGAAATGTGGTGGAGAGAGAGAGAGAGAGAGAGAGAGAGAGAGAGAGAGAGAGAGAGAGAGAGATATGCCTGGAGTGGGCGGGGCCAAGAGAAGACTGTGCTGGAGAAGCCAGCACCACCCCCTGCCAGGAGTTGGGGAGCAGGGCAGGGCTCTCGCTCTCTCTGAGGTGGCTCCAAACAGCACCCCAACCAAGCCTGTGCACTGGGGACACTCCTGTCCCCCAAAGGTTCCGAAGATGAGCTAGCCCAGTGGTCGGCAAACTCATTAGTCAGCAGAGCCAAATATCAACAGCCAAATATCAAGAGCCGAACACCAACTTCTGCGCATGGGCCACGAAGTTTCAATGGCACTGTACGTGTGTGCCCGCACAGGGTGTTTTGTGGAAGAGCCACACTCAAGGGGCCAGAGAGCCCCATGTGGCTCTCGAGCCACAGTTTGCCGACCACTGAGCTAGAGGAAAGCATTCCTTCCCACGCCCCTCCCTCCTTTGGTTAATCCTCACTGGACGATATTTTCCCATTGATTTTTTAGAGAGAGTAGGAGGGAGGGTGAGAGACAGAGAGGAACATCAATGTGAGAGAGACACATCGATGGGCTGCCTCCCGCATATGCCATGACAAAGGCTGGGGATCCAACCCGCAGCCCAGGTACACGCTCTTGACCGGAATCGAACCCAGGACTCGAAAAAGGGTCCTGGGAAATGGACCCATCAAAGTCACACCCTCCAACCTAAGCCTTGCCTACCTTATTCAAAAGGCTCTGGTTTTGCCCTAATCAATGTGGCTCAGTGGATAGAGCGTCAGTCTGCAGACTCAAGGGTCCCAGGTTCAATTCAAGTCAAGGGCATGTACCTTGGTTGCGGGCACATCCCGGGTGGGGGGTGTGCAGGAGGTAGCTGATCCGTGTTTCTCTCTCATCGATGTTTCTAACTATCCCTCTCCCTTCCACTCTGTAAAAAAATCAATAATATATATATATTTTTTAAAAGGCTCTGGGGTTTTTTTTGTTTGTTTGTTTTTGTTTTTTTAATTCTCCTGCTCCTCTGCCGCCCCCTGCATCTCCCCCTCCGGCCGCCCCCACCTCCCTTCCAGTGCGTACACAAAAAGGAGAGTAGACCCCCCCCACACCCTCACCCCCAGAGCAGACAGAGGTGCCAGCCGGACCTGCAGACTTGTTTACCACTCAGGGTCTCCCCCGCCAGACAGCTGCTCAGCGCCGCCACCTGGCGGCAGGAGCCGGCGCTGCACCGCGGGCCGGCCCACCCCTGCTGGGCGGATGACCCAATGCCGCAGGCATCTGGGTTCACCTTCCCCCCTTCTCTCCAGCACCAAATAAGGGGGCTCTTTCCCCGGCGCGCCCAGCCTGTGGCGGGGAGGCCAAGGGGCGTGGAAAGGAAGATCCGGGAACGAGGCTGACAGTCCGCAAGACAACCGACCACATTGTTCCTCCCCAGGCCGCCTGCTGGCCTCCACCCAGCCTCCACCATCTTCCTCTGGGCGGGCACGGCCCCAGCCCAGGAGGGGGGCGCTCCCTGCAGCAGCCATGGTGGACCCTGGGCTCCTCAGAGCCCCGTGGGCAGTGCCACGGAGCCCTTCACCCCTGGAGAAGTGGAAGCGCAAAGCCTCACCCGCCCCTGCCCTTGCTCCATGCAGGCCCGAGGGCTTTTGAGGGTGCGGCTGCAGAACCCCCAGTTCAGGCTGCCAGGTCTCAGGACCTTGGCATCGCCCCCAAGGGAGGGCGTCCCTGGTGGCTGACAGGATCTGGTAACCACAGAAACCGAGATGTGACCTATATTTTTCGAGGCTGGCCTCAACGCCGGGTTTCTTTCCTTCTAGAAATCAACAGGAGAGCGTCCGGGCCTGGCCCTGGCCCTGGCCCTGGCAGGGTGTGAATGTGCCAGCCAGCCGCAGGGCGGGGCGCGTCAGAAGGCCTGGCTGGTTGGTTTGTGGCCGGTGAAGAAGATAGGCGAAGACGGGGAGGGGTCTGGGTTCAGCACCCCGTCCCAGCCCCCTCTCACCGCCTCCTGCCAAGCACAGACCCTCCTGGCACCCCAGGGGGACGAGCCATGGGGCGGTAGCTCTCAGGATCTCCAAGAGGCTCGTCGTGGGCTATTTGCGTGTACATCTAAGCTGCGTACTTAGAACGTGGCCGCCGCCCTGCTCATGGCTTCAGCTGAGCATTGACCATGTGCTAGGCCCGTGGTCGGCAAACTTCCTCAAGGACCTACCCTGTCCGAAGTCCCCAGGGAAGGGAGGATGGGTCGCCGCGTCTGCACGAAGCGCCCCCCGCCGCTGCTCTGCGTCCACCTGAAACAAAGGAACGTGTTCCACGTTAGTGACAGGCATGCTACAAAGCGCCATCTGTTAAAGGGGCGGCGAGTGTCCTCTCATATTAATGAGGATGGCAGGGGGGTAAGGGGAGGGGGACGTGTCCCGAAAGGTGTGCCGTGTTTCCAGATCGTCAGACTCTCCGCATCACCCCATTTCCCAGGGGAGGCCCCCCTGGGACCCCCCGCACCCTTTCACCCGATGAAAACCCAATTTGGCCGGAACCGGTGTGGCTCAGTGGATAGAGCCTCGGCCTGCGGACTGAGGAGGCCCGGGTTCGATTCCGGCCAAGAGCATGTACCTTGGTTGCGGGCACATCCCCAGTAGGGGGTGTGCAGGGGGCAGCTTCTCTATCATCGATGTTTCTAGCTCTCTATCTCTCCCTTCCTCTCTGTAAAAAAAAAAATCAATAAAAATATATTTTTAAAAAAAACCAATTCGGTGCCTGGCTGGCATGACTCAGTGGTTGAGCGATGACCTAGGAACCCGGAGGTGACAGTTCGATTCCCAGTCAGGGCACAGGCCCGGGTTGCGGGCTCGATTCCCAGTGTGGGGCGTGCAGGGGGCAGCCAGTCCGTGATTCTCATCATGGACGTTTTTATTTCTCTCTCTCTCTCCCTCACCTTTCCTCTCTGAAATCAATAAACATAAACCATGTGAAGCATGTTATATAGTAAATAATAAACCAGGAAGTAGTCATTTATCATCACGATCCAGTATTATTTGCTGCTATACATAAATGTACATGTGTTGTACTTTTATGCGACTGGCAGCGCAGTAGGTGTGTTTACACCAGCATCACCACAAACAAGTGAACAATGACATCACACAATGACATCACACAATGACATCACAACAATGACATCATAGTGGCTACGACACCATAGTGGTCACAATTTCATAGTGGCTGTGATATCATAGAGGGCTACGAAATCACAGTGGCTGTGACATCACAGTGGCTGTGACATCATGGTGGCTATGACTCATAGTGGCTATGGTATCACAGTGGCTGGGACAGCATAATGGCTGAGACAGCATAGTGGCTGGGACAGCATTGTGGCTGCAACATCATTGTGGCTGTGACAGCATAGAGGTTCTGATGTCATAGTGGCTGTGACATCATGGGGGTATGATGTCACCAGGAAACAGTTTTTCATTCTGTTATATTACGGGACCACCATCGTATATGGGACACGAAAATGTCGTTATATGGTGCATCACTCCTGTGTGTGTGTGTGTGTGTGTGTGTGTGTGTGTTGGTTCTCCTTCTCTGGGGAACCCTGACTCACACAGATCTTGGTACAACTTGTGGGGTAGGGTGGCTCCCGGCACCTCAGAGGACAGAGCCTGCTTGTGGATGAATAGCTGTGTTGGAAATCTCGGGTCCCCCGGTGAGCCCCCTGCTCTGGGACACAGCCCCCGTCTCATTCCTGCCTGAGCTGTCCCTCTTTCTTCTAAGAAAGCCGTGAGCTGTACCTTCCCAAAGAACACGATGGCTAGATGCCGTTGGGAGGGTGGGGGAGCACAAACGGTGTCAACACTGACCCAGCCGTTACACCTCAGTCGGGGAGGCTGGTTTTCTTGCACAGTTTTCCTTGAATCCTGTGTCTTGACGTTGCCCCTAATCACCACGAGGCACGCACTTCCAGGAAGCCAGCGTGTGCCATTTAAGGAGCCCGCAGCGCAAGGCCCAGCCACGTGGAGGCTGGTGTTTCTTTGGAGTCAAAGGGGGGGAGAAATGAGGCCCAGAGGTGCTTGTCTTCCGGGAAAATCACATGCCCGTGTGCTAGGGAGACTGCCATCTTTTAAAATGCAGCTGTTTTCTGCCGAGACCGGTTTGGCTCAATGGATAGAGCGTCGGCTTGCGGACTGAAGGGTCCCGGGTTCGATTCCGGTCAAGGGCATGTGCCTTGGTTGCAGGCATATCCCCAGTAGGGGGTGTGCAAAAGGCAGCTGATCGATGACTCTCTCTCATCGATGTTTCTAACGCTCTATCTCTCTCCTTTCCTCTCTGTACAAAATCAATAAAATATATTTAAAAAATAAATAAATAAATGTTTAAAAAATAAAAATAAAAAATAAAATGCAGCTGTTTTCTCCTATGTACTCATCTGAATCTATGCATAGGATTTCATAATTGCTCCCATCCCTGCTACTTACCACCCAGTCCATTATGTACCTTTTTAATATATATATATATATATATATATATATATATATATATGTTTACTAGAGGCCCGGTGCATGAAATTTGTGCACGGGGAGGGGGGGTTGGGGGGGGTGTCCCTCAACCCAGTCTGCACCCTCTCCAATCTGGGACCCCTCAAGGGATGTTCAACTGCCCAGTGGGATCGGGCTTAAATGGGCAGTCAAACATCCCTCTCACAATCCAGGACTGCTGGCTCCCAATGCTCACCTGCCTGCCTTCCTGATTGCCCCTAACTGCTTCTACCTGCCAGCCTGATCACCCCCTAACCACTCCCCTGCCAGCCTGATCGATGTGTAACTGCTCCCCTGCCAGCCTGTCTGCCCCCAACTTCCCTCCTCTGGCGGCTTGGTCACCCCTAACTGCCTTCCCCTGCAGGCCTGGTTCCACCCAACTGTCCTCCCCTGCTGGCCATCATGTGGTGGCCATCTTGTGTCCATATGGGGGCAGCCATCTTGTGTGTTGGAATAAGGAAAGTGTGTATTACCCTTTCCTTAGATAGGATTGCTTTCAGAAAGGAAGGGAGAAGAAGAAGAAGAGAGAGAGAAACATCCATGATGAGGGAGAATCATGGACCGGCTGTCTCCTACACACCCTCTCCTGGGGATGGAGCCTGCAACCCAGGGCACGTGTCCCGACTGGGAATCGAACCGTGACCTCCTGGCTCCTAGGTCGACGCGCAAGCACGGAGCCACATCAGCCGGGCCCATATGTGCTTTCCAAACAGCCTCATTCCATCTCACCCTGGCGGCCAGACAACAGAGGGTGTGGCCTTTCCACGGAGTGACTTTCTGCAGTTCACATCCAAGAAAAGACACAGCGATGGGGAGAAACAGAAAAGAGCTGTGTCTCCCGGACTTGACTGAAAGTCCGGCTCCGAAGCCGATATGGCTTTCTTCCTGGAACTTAAAAGAGACATACATACATACAGGGTGAGGCTTCACACCGGGACATATACCTGGTCCCCATCTGGTCCCTTCCATCCCTCAGAGCTCCCTGGCTGCCTCCTACTCTGCCTACAAAGAATGTTTGCAAAAATCCTTGTCACGGGGTCAGCGCTCCATCTAGTGGTCAACAGGATAATTGTAAAAAATAATAATTCACAGGAAAAAACAGCTCCCCAGGTCAAATGCCAAACTGTTTGCAAAACTGCCTGGTACGTGATCTGTGCCCGTGGTTCTCAGACTTTGCCACCCGCTACAGTCCCCTGAGCGATGTGTAAAAAAAATCTGATGCCCGGGCTGCACCCCGAGCCAATGAAGCCAGAACTTCAGAGAGCGGGACCTAGGCATCAGCATTTGTTTAAAACTCTAATAGGAAGCCGGTGACCACCACAACCAAAACGAGGCATGAAAAGCGAGAAAAACCTCCTGTAAATATTGAATGTCACACGTTTCATAAAAATAGTTTTATGTATAGAAGGGGTTTTCCCCCTTCTTTAAAATTGGAATTTTTTAAACATTTTATTGCCTTTTTTTTTTTTTTTTTTTTTTTTTTTTTTTTTTTTTTTTTTTTTTTACAGAGAGGAAGGGAGAGGGAGAGTTAGAAACATCGATGAGAGAGAAACATCGATCAGCTGCCTCCGGCACACCCCCCTACTGGGGATGTGCCCACAACCAAGGAACATGCCCTTGCCTGGAATCGAACCTGGGACCCTTGAGTCTGCAGGCCGATGCTCTATCCACTGAGATAAGCCGGATAGGGCAAAATCGGATCATTTTTAATATATATTTTTATTTATATCAGAGAGGGAGGGAGAGGGAAGGGGAGAGAGAGAAAGAGAAACATCAATGATGAGAGAGAATCATGGATTGGCTGCCTCCTGCCTGCCCCACACTGGGGATCGAGCTTGCAAACCCCCTTTCCCTCACTTCCCCCTCCCCCCTACTCCACTCCCTTTCACTCCTACCCCACCTCCCACTCCCTGCATGTGCCCTGACTGGGAATCCAACTGTGACCTCCTGGTTCATAGGTCGATGCTCAACCCCTGAGCCACACCATGGGGGCTGACTGCATTGCATTTTAGCAGCAATTACAGGGCATATGGAATCCCAATGGTAGCCCGGGCATTCCCTTGACTGGGTACTTTGGGGTGAGGTTCTGTGACGAAACAGCCAAGCAATAGAGTCACCTTGATAGAAAGAGAGAAAAAAATATGCCGGTAGCCATGGGATGCAGAGGTCATTTGGATTTCAAAACTGAGGGGTCATGTAGGTCAGAGAGGTTTTATGGCATTCAGTGGGACGTGCTCTAATTGTAAGGGGGCGGACAGAAGGAAGTGAGGCTGCTTTTAGGCATCGGAGAAAAGTGATTTGTGCCGTACAGGACGAAATGAAACAATGACCCAAGGACTATAGAGTGAGCAGCAAGCAAAAGAGGAATTAAAAAAAAATTTTTTTTTTGAAGCCTGGCTTGTGGTTGAGCGTAGACCCATGAACCAGGAGGTCACGGTTCGATTCCCAGTCAGGACACATGCCTGGGTTGGGGGCTTGAACCCCAGTGGGGAGGGGGCCGTGCAGGAGGCAGGTCCACCATGATTCTCTCTCACTGATGTTTCTCTCTCTCTCTCTCTCTCTCTCTCTCTCTCTCTCTCTCTCTCTCTCTCTCTCTCTCCCTGAAATCAATAAAAATATATCTTTAAAAGATTAAAAAAAAAAAAAGAGAGAGAGAGAGAGAGCCCCAATAGTGCTGAATTTTGGAAATTTATCCTGCAAAAGGTAGCTTCCTTGGCCCTAACCAGCGTGGCTCAGTGGATAGAGCGTCGGCCTGGGGACTGAAGGGTCCCAGGTTCGATTCCGGTCAAGGGCATGTACCTTGGTTGCGGGCACATCCCCAAGTCAGGGGCGTGCAAGAGGCAGCTGATCGATGATTCTCTCTCATCGATGTTTCTAACTCTCTCTCCCTCTCTCTTCCTCTCTGTAAAAATAAATAAATAAATAAAATATATATTTAAAAAATAAAAATAAAGTGATGAGACCCTTGCCCTGCTGGTGTGGCTCAGTGGTTGAGTGACAACCTATGAACCGGGAGGTCAGGGTTCGATTTAGAAAAAAAAAAAAGAAGAAGAAGAAGAAAGTGACCAGACATCCCGCTTTTGGCGGGACAGCCCCGAAAGAATCTTTTCCAAAAAATCGGGACCGTCCCGCCAAAAGCGGGACGCCCGGTCACCTTAGTTGAGAAGTTTAAGTTTAAAAAATGTGGCTCTCCAAAGAAATCCCAATCATTGCGCTGTTGATCGTTGGCTCTGTGGACTCCGGAGTTTGCCGACCACCGGGCTAGGCCAGAAGACAAACGTGTGTGGGGTTCCTGCCACCCCGCCTCAGGCGTCCCGGCTGGCGCGTCGTCAGAACTTCAGCACCTCGGCATGGACTTCTGTGTTTTCCG